ATAATATTACCGTGCCGGAGCTACCATCACCCAACTCGGAGAAAGATCTTCCGCTTTGGCCTTCCAACACTGTGCAGGACGGTAAGGAATTTAAACTATTTAAGAATTATCAAAAACAAAATATTAAGCATTTCTTAAAAATATTCATTTGTTTTCTTGGGTTCTTTCGCACACCACTCATTAAATAAAACAAATTTCAACGGTATAGAGGCACTGATTTAATTATTTATTGACGTTTCTGAACTGAATTATTATTTTATTTACTTTGTCTAATACTATAAAATCAGATTTCTGACGACTCATCCTGAAACGAAACGTCAATAAATAAATAAATCGGTGCATCTATACCGTTGATACTTGTTTTATTTAATATTTGGTAATAGAAATCATGAATAAATATAATAATGTTTTTTTTTAAGCATGTAACTGCTTGATGTTTAAATCTAAAGAAAATATAACTAGAAAAAAAATTCCACGCGGACCAGGCAGCAGACGGGACTCGAACCCCCACCCTTCGCAATCCGGGCGAATGCACTGACCAATTATGCTACCGCGGCCCTCACGGACCACGTCGAAATTCTTCTAGTCATTCTTAAGCTGCAAGACAGCGCCATCTCTTCGCATTATCAAATGAATGAATCAAATGAATACTTTTACAAAAAAAAAATCTAGTTATATTTTCTTTAAATATAATAATCTCAGTTGACACCACATCATTGCTCTAATCTCAATTTAAATAATAACTTAAGTATTTCGGTACCAAATCCGAACAACGACAGCACCATGAACTTCCAGACCAAAGACAATATATTAAAGTTATCTTAAAGAAACAAATATATACACTTAAAAGTATAGTACTACTGTACAAAGGAGAAAAAATTACTACATACTAAAAAAATTAAATTATAACCATAATTTACTTCTTGATTTATTTTACATGGTAACATTTCATTTTATGAAATGGCAACATAACTTAAGTGACTATTTGAACGTAAATAAAGAGCGGACGCGAGCTGAGAGACATTTGAGAAATAGGTATTAGAGGTTGTTTTCCAATTACAGAGCATAATGCGACTCAGTGCCGCACAATGCCGAAATATGCTGATGCTTAAATTGGAACGTGAATTAGTTTACAAATGCACCAGCAGAGTGCGCTAAGTTCAGTGTTGAAAAAAAGACAATGTTTGTGTACCTTCATCCAGACTTATATGTTTTTTGAAGTTATACTTCTTTAGGCGCGTTATGAAAAAATGATGAGAGTGAAATTTTAAGATGCGCGCGCATCACTGTAACACAAAATTTTAACAGCATGAAGTTGGTGTTCTTTGAAACTTCATGCGTTACTTTTGTGTTTACCGCACATTAAGAAAATCTACCAACAAAATAGAAATAGAATCTCTATTTAGTGGGTGCTAACGACTGCATTGTGAAGGCCTATCAAAAGTATTCATTAATCTGGAACAACGAAACCAAAGCGCGATTCTGGAGACTACAGCGCTATCTCTTGGCCATTGGTGTAGTAGAACCAAAAACCACATCTTTATTTTTTGTAATAAAGTAAGAGTTATAGGTATTCATATTTATAATATCAAAAGTATTTATTAATCTGGAACAACGGAACCAAAGCGCGATTCAGGAGACTACAGCGCCATCTCTTGACCATTGGTGTAGTAGAACCAAAAACCACATCTTTATTTTTTGTAATAAAGTAACAGTTATAGGTATTCATATTTATAATATTTATCCACATGTTTCTAGTTTGTATATTCGGAATACGTGTTTGAGTTTCATACAAGTGCAAATCACATATGTTCTAATACATAAATTATATTCAGTAGCGATTTTAATTGAATATTTTGATTATTTATTTATTTTTTCAAATTAAAACTTAACTTTATTGACTGTGTCCTTTTCCAGACTTTTTATTAATTTATTGTAATTAATTATTTGCATGCAATTAAAAACTAATTTTAAACGATGCCAAAGAAGGATAACTTCTCACGCGCCTACATAAGTACACGCACCCACTTTTTTTAACACAGTTTGAATTAACGTTGATTATTTAAAAAAAACTATAATGAAACGAAAGCTTTAAAAAATTTTCAACAATAAATAATATTACTAACAATAATATATAAATAAAACATTTCGATCAATGCCAACTTAAAGAAAAAATACTTGTTAATTTTCTGTGACTGAGTTGGTACGATTGCACGCATCACACGAAAACATTACTTTTGAGCAGAGGCGGCCTTACCGATTGCGAGGCTCCGGGCGGCAGGTCTTTGCGAGGCCCTTTGTCCTTCGTGAAAAGTATGTGATGCGAAAGTAGGTCTGGTTGTTTGGTTTAGGCATTTGTCATGTTTAAGGAAAAATGCTTAAATTATACAAATAAATCAAATTTGAATTTTAAAATATTTTACATTGAAAGATTCACAAAATTAACAAATACAGAGATGATACATTTTAAAATTGATGTTTTCGGCTTTTCCTAAGACTAAAATCTTTAATTAAAGCACAATAATCTAACGAATAAGCTACGTCATTTTCGATTGAAAGAATAGCGAGGGCTGAAAGCCGATCTTGTGTCATTGAAAAAAAAGTATTTTTTTTTATATTTTTAAAATTTGCTTGGGTTGTTGCGCGAGGCCCCTGTAGGAGCGAGGCCCCGGGCGATTGCCCTGTTCGCCACCCCCTAAGACCGCCACTGCTTTTGAGAGTGCTCGATTGTGCGAAGCGTTGCTGTAGTTGAAACATTCAACGTTAAGCATTATGCCGCATAATGCGCTCTAGTGCTGTAATTGGAAAACTACCAGAGATAACAGTAGTTACCGCTGAAAATTGCATAATTCGCGGTTTAGCTCTCGACAATTTCCTTCTCGAAAATTACATATGTACTTATATGTAAACTATGCCTGTATGTTTTGCTTTTTTTGTAAATGCTTATTAAATCTCACACACTAGACATCTTTAGAGACGATAATAATTTGTTTATTTTTGGACTTTTTCGAGGATAGAAGACATCGGAGCATACAACGAGTAAAATGATATATTATGGACAGTGCCATCTTTGACCATATTGGAGGCCCTGGGCATATTAGGATAATGGGGCCACTATGACTTCCGTTTGGTGATTTAACAGGAACTATGGATTTTGTATTTGATCCGAGGGGGCCCCCTATCGATTGCGGGACCCTGGGCACTTGCCCAAAGTGCTCATTGGGAAAGACGGGTCTGATTATGGATGAAAATTTATGCTTTAATGATAAAAATCAAGATACGTATGGAAAAAACATTGCCCGCCTCCCTCCTTCATCATCAGCCTATTAATGTCCCCACTACTGGGGCACAGGCCTTCCCTATGGATGGAATAGGGAGATTGGGCCATGACCCACCACGCGGGCCCAGTGCGGATTGGTGGGTGCTAACGACTGCAGATGCAGCCGGGACCAACGGCTTAACGTGCCTTCCGAAGCACGGAGGAGCTCATGTTATTAAATTTTTGGTCACCCATCCAATGACCGACCACTGCGAAAGTTGCTTAACTTCAACGATCGCAGCCGAACGCGCTAACCACTCGCGCCATCGAGCTCCTCCCTCCTTAAATATTGTATATTTAAAGCTTTGGAATGTGACAAACAATAAGAGACCCTGCTCTTATATATGAAAACAAGGACAAAAAATACATTATTACAATTTATAATCATCAATATTGATTTAGTTGATTTATGAGTGCATGGGCGTAGCCAGGTACGGGCAGAAGAAACGCACATCACTCTCATTAGTCTCGTTACTAAAGCTCTAATTTCGATAGGACTACTCGTAAACAGTGAAGTGATTTCGTACGTACGTTAAGCATTTCTTGGACGTAAAATGATGGATATAAGGATTTTTTTAAAGTCTGTAGTCCAAAAGATGGTACAAGAAAATTTACATGCAATTTCAGGTGAAGTCTTGAAACGGAGACAATTGCTCTTCTTTATATGAAATTTATTTTTTGTAGAAAATACTAGTTTTACTTGCCCCCCCCCCCCCCCCCCCCCCCCAAAACTAAATCCTGGCTACGCCCTTGTATGAGTGTAGGCAAATAATTCATTCAGTCTGAAGTTTCAGTTGTACTTTTAATTAATCTCATACAAAATATAAGCTTGAACCTATATACAGGGTGTAAAAAACCTATGACAAAGACTTGAACTACGCATTCTGTACACCCAAACAAGTCATATTACAAAAAAATATAAGTGGGAAAGATTTGTATTTTTAAATTAAAAAAATACATTTTTCTTCCAGTACGCAATGTATAGCGCGGCGCGCTACTGTGGCGCTACGCAAAAAATGTGCGTGTGTGTAAGTGCGTCGATAAAATAGCTTCTAAATAACGTTTTGAAAATATTAATGTATAAATCTAGAAAAAAATATTTTGGCTTTGACCTTCGATATCTCCATAACCATAAATTTCCCAGGTGTGGTCCGCAAGAAAAAAAATATCGTCATGATGTGGAAAATATGTGGCTTTCGACTTCGCTATAGGTTTTTGTTCACCCTGTATATACAGATTTAGTTATTTCGCCTTATTACAAAACGTAAACTAAAGTTAATCCTGGACTAAAACTGATGCTGTTTAAACCAGGACTAAATTTACTCCGCGTTTTTTGAATAAGGGGATTGTCATCTCTTTATCCACTTTTTAGCCAGAACTTAATAATCCTGTTTTTTATGTTTATATTTATTTTAAAGCATTTAACTGATGTTTAAATCTAAAGAAAAGTGTACTAGAAAAAAGTCACGCAGACCAGGCAGCGGACGGGACTCGAACCCGCACCATTTGCAATCCGGGCGAATGCACTGACCATTATGCTACCACGGCCCTATTGGCCGCGTCGAAATTTTCCTAGCCTTAAGCTGCAAGGCGGTTACCTACAATGCGAAGAGATGGCGCTGCCTTGCAGGTTAAGGCTAGGAAAATTTCGACGCGGCCAACAGGGCCGTGGTAGCATAATGGTCAGTGCATTCGCCCGGATTGCGAAGGGCGCGGGTTCGAGTCCCGTCCGCTGCCTGCTTTTTTTTATTAAATCTCGTAAGGATTGTTTTGTAAACTTTGCTAAACATATTACAAGGTCCTATGTACATCTTAAAATATAAATGCATAAAGTTTCATTCACGAAGATCCGGTTGGCTCAAGCGCACCTATAATACAAGTAAGAAAACAGACATACAATATATTATGTACACATTGTACTATTCTATAAACACCTTCAGCCGTCCAAAAAAAAATCTATAACAGTCGTCGACAATGCGAATTGTCAGTTGCTCGTCTTACCGAACACGTAATTTATCATTTTGCCGACAACTTTTGGTTTTTTTCTTTTCTTCTTTATTTCGCCCGTTTGACTGAGGTTGCTAAGAGATCCGTTTGGGTCCAATTCAGTAATACGCACTTGTTGCGTCTCCGAGTTGCTTAAGGAAGAGTCTGTACTGGATTTGCTCTGTGTCGTTAAAAATTTACTTTTAATCGTAGTGTCTGTATCCGATTGGGGCGGAAGCATGTCGTTCGCACTGAAAAACCGAAATGTTTTTTTAAATAAATTTCTCTACAGTTGTTTGGTTTCTTCACTAATACTTAGGTAGTAATTTTACTGACTTGTCAAATACGAGTATATAAAAAAAATCTAGAAAAGAATAACACAGTCCAGACATCAAATAGGCACCTTTCGCAATCCGGAAGAATTTAAAATTTCTTTAGATTTTTATAAATGTAGCCATTGAATGCTCAAAAAAATGTTATAGTCTATATGTATTTTAGAAAAGGTTTCGGTAGTCGACCAAAAAAGTTCAGAGATATTTTTTTTTATTTTTATTTTTTAAGCATGTAACTGCTTGATGTTTAAATCTAAAGAAAATATAACTAGAAAATGAAAAAATATAACTATAATTGCTATTTCTTCTTTCAAATGTTTAATGCTTGTAAAAATATGCATTTGACATTGTGGGTTACCTACAATGCGAAAACGCTGCCTTGCAGCTTAAGAATGGCTAGAAGAATTTCAACGCGGCCATCATGGCCGCGGTAGCATAATTGGTCAGTGCATTCGCCCGGATAGCGAAGGGTGCGTATTTTTAATGAATATAAACACACTGACAAGATAAACAGGAATGACATACAAAAACGGTATAATAAAATCAAAACGTGATCAAAAAATGTTCAGCCAGGATTACGGTTTACAACAATTTTTTCATGTTATATTTTCTTTAGAAGTTCAGAGATGTAAAAGATACATTAAAAAAAGTATCTAAAATACAAGATAACAGGTAGTCAAGTATTTAGATAACAGATACAAGATACCTTTGGAAAAAGTATTAAAAATACCAGATCCAAGATGCGTATTTGCAAAATAAACTTTTTTTAAGATAAAGATACTTTTTTAAAACAAAACTGTAAGGCCACGCCCCTAAAGACGCTGTTCTTTCAATCATCAAATTCATCATCATCATCTTACGATTTACTTGCATTCACGTTTCTTCAATATTTATCAAGAACTATGAATTAATGCTAGTTTCGGTGTATTGTTTATTTTTATACCATCAGAAAGTAGAGATTTCAACAAACGAAAAACACACCAACTTTTTTAAAAAAGCAGATATTTTGACGTGAGATTTTTCGATTGAAAATTAGGGTGCTTTTTCGATATTTAGTCAAAATAAGGTGAAAAAATGAATATTTTAAATCAAAAAAATTACTGTATTTTTGGGACATACAAAGGTAAGTTTTCACTAAATTTCGTGAAAAAATAAATTATTTTGCAAAAAATAAAAATAATAAACCAAAAACTCGGTTATTCGAATTTTTCACATAAATTTTGAGGTTATGTGAAAAAAGTGTCAATACAAAAGTTGTAGATCTTTTTATTACCTACAACTCTGCCTTTTTACTTTTTTTCATAGGACTTGCAGTTTTACCGGAAATCGAGATTAACCGTTTTTTACCCTTAAAAACTCACCCCTTCCCGACCTCAGATCGCCCGTAATTTATTTTTCCTTTCATTTTTGTTATATTCTCTACCTTTTCCAATGGGTTTCATCCTACTATAATTTTTTTTGGACTCAAAAATAATCGACCCTGGTCTATAAGGTGAACGAGATGGCAACATATAAACTTACCATTTTCTTTTCACGGTGAACAAAGTTGATAGAAAAGAAAAACACTTAGGCTTAGAATAGTAACGCGCTAAGTTACAACAATGCATGCGTTTTAAAATCAACGTTGAAAATTATATAGGAAAAGAAAAAGTATCTTAGTAAAAAAAGTATCTTCAAAATACTAAGATACTGATAAAAAGTATTTAAATACAAGATACAAAATAAATTTCAAAAAAGTATTTCAAATACAAATAAGTATTTTGTATGTTACATCTGTATCTTAGATACGTTACATCTCTGCAAAGAACTACATACATGTATATAATTTAGAGCATATGCCCCGTCTGATGGTGAGCGGCAGTGAAAAAATAAAACCTGTATTTGAATAACTTACTTTGACAACTTGACCTTTAGCAACGTCTGCGAGAGTTTGTCCCAGAAGTTGTACGGCATCCACTGGTCGTCTTCGTTGAACACCAGCTTGTGGTAATACATCAGGTTGTGGGGCAACCGGCAGTCGCGGTATATTATAGGAATTATGTTCCTTTTGTTCGTCTCTATAACAAAGAGTAAAAATCGGTTTCAAACTTAGATTAAACATTTAACATAATTACATGTAATGTGTATTTATTATTTTATAGTGTATGTATCTATATGTATATTTTATAGTTTATAATATGTCTGTGTATGTCTGTATGTGTGTATGTATGTATTTATTGTAAGTATTTGTGTATATACATATGAATATATATTTATGTATGTCTTAGATAGGTATATAATGTGCAACAGTAGTGGGGCAAGACCTAAATTTGATGTGGGCAAGACAGATTTCGCGAGGCCCTGTTCTGTGGCGACCTGAAGACGGATTTTATAAAATAATAAAAAAAAAGAAATTCCCTTTTAAGCAATGCATAAATTTTATATTTAGGCGCGAGGCCCCTTGTACCGCGAGGCCGTAAGCGGTGGCCCACGTCGCCCACGCCTTACGCCGCCTCTATTCTACAAGTAAGTACTTAGTGCTCATCTCTACACCCACTTATTTTTTGTCTCTCACTAAACCTTGGTTGGCTGGAAGAGATCTCTCTTAGAGATAAGCCCTCCTTTGCTCACATATTAAGGTTTTGTATCTTGCAATTTTTTGTGTGCAATAAAGAGAGTATATATAAAGAATATATATTAAATAAAAAAGGGTTGATACGGTACGCTCATACTAGCATCAAATAAAATATGCTTCGACTCAACTACATAAGCAACTCACACACGGACACGTCTGTAAATAAACATTCAATCGAGCGAGCGAGACAGAACTAGTTCTTTCGCTTCAACGCAGCGCGAGCGAAACGGCGAGCCCGCGAGACGTGAAGAAGTAACAAATATACACACAGTCACACTCACAATGTTTCGTCTTTATAATAACAGTGTGATGACTGTATATTGCGATTCATCTAAGAATAGGACCAATTCAAACCATATAGGTAGAGTGAGCAAAATAAAGTTTATATTTAATAAAACTTATTTACTAAGATTAAGTGAGGAAAAATTCTTTTTTAACAATTTTTTTAAACAAAATTTATTTACTAACATTGAGAAAAAAAACAAACCGATTTTTAATAGTATTTATTTATTAAGACTGTGTAAGAAATAACATTAATCAGAATCTAGCTCTTCAATTCCGCTCATCTCTGAATTACCGCCGGAGTAATTATGAACGAAAGTTTTGAATCGAGCTTCTGAACGCAACTTAAAGTGACATATGGTTATCAACGATTGCAAAAAAGTTTTTTTCAAGTGACGATTAATGTTATCAACCATTCATAGCCAAAGCACAATAAATGAAAAAAAAATATCAACCAATATTAATTATCAATATTTGTTATTGTTTGTTTACAAATGTTTGGTTTTTATTCTAGAATTAGCAGTGCTAAAAAAGGGTTCCAAGATTTTTTTGCAAACCGTACTTTTCAAGCGACATTTGCCAGATGGAGATCATTGGCTTTCCTATTCTTATCTGAATCGCACTATACAATTTAAAGATGCAAAACTCACCAATACTGACTGCTTGTGCATAGTTACTGTAAAAGCTGTTAGCAGGACTGTCAATGAACGCCGGTGAATATACTAAGATGATCCGATGACATCTCTCCGAAATCAACTTGGATACAGGAGCATACTGAGTTCCATATCCTACTTCAATATCATACTCAGTGCATAGCTGAAAAAAAAACATACTAAAGCAGGTTAATAATAATTATGAATAATTACTGTAATACACTAACAAGTGTTGAATATATATAATAAAAAAGATGTCAATAATTTTGTGTAAAATGAGTATTTGTAAAATGTTACAGCTAACTTAGAAGAGCTTCACCAAAAATATGCAAATGAAGCAAGAAAATCAATCTTTATTTATTTTATTTTTTTCATTACGAAAGTTATAAATTTTGTGGAGTCCCAGCCTAACTCCACTTAAAAGGTACGTAAAAAAAAAGTAAAAGAAATACTAAAAGGATGGTTAAAACCTTACTTATTTACATAATAAAAATATTTACAGGAACAAATTAATACAAAATTTTGAGCACACAACAAAGGTAAAATGGTGCGACAAAAGTCACAGAAAAAGAAATTGTTTTTTCTTCGGTGCACCCGTCTGTCAGCAAAAAGGCAACAAAGTTGTGGTAAACTTTAAATAAATAAATAAGCCCAACAGTATGTAAACCTGAGTTTAAAACAAATACCCATTATAGACATTACTAAGCAAAATTCTCTTCTCTTATAGAATAAAAACTATTTCAATAAAATTTTATATTCATTACTTTAAAATTTAAGTCTTTCATTTTAGCCAGGAGTTGTCGAACAAAACTCCAATCTTCTTGAGCAAATAACACGTAAGCATGGTAATAATTTGGATATCCAGTTCTCCTGTCATCATGAGTGATGATCATGTTCTCATCCACATTTCCATTTGAACTTAACTCATTGCCATTTGTAACTGATCTTGAGGAAGCTGAAATTACAAAATTAACATGTAAAAATAACATAAATGTAAGGTAAAATAATATGTGCAATAATAATTCGCTTAAGCTGATGCAAACCCAGAATTTTTCCATGTTTCGCAAGCTCTATTAAGTCATCATAAATATCATATCTGTCCATTTGGCCAAGATACTCTAATAGTGTAGCTAGTGTGGCTGTGTCATCGTTCCTTTGATTCCAGATGTCAAGAACTCGTATTGTTTTATCTGAGAATTCACTTATGCCATGTGAAAGTTCGTTAGGGATGCTCAGTAGGAACGCCAAGCCTCTCCAATCTCTGAAATAATTGTTACAAATGAAAGTATTAAATAAAAGCTAACACACTGCCACATTTTGTTTGAATCGAAGATTTTGTAACCTCTCATTTTCACCAAGGTAAAATACGTGTATATATATGTTACGCTCAAAGATCGAAAACGCTCAGTGAGCGGAAAAATAGCTCACAACGCGTTGTGGTCACAGTAAAACATCCACATCGCGAAATTCGTGTTAAGGCTCTAATGAAAACGCGCACGACGAAACTAAATAAACGTAAATTGTCATAAAAAATTCAAATCACTAATTATTTTAAGTGAATTATAATTAATTTACAATTGATTAATATACGACGACCTCCGTGGCCGAGTGGTTTGTACGCCGGGTTTCATGATGTCGCCGACTCGAGAGGTCCCGGGTTCGAATCCCGGTGGGGGCAGATGTTTGTGTGATGAATACGAGCATTTGTACTCCAGTCATGGATATTTAATATCTATTTCTATATAAATATACTTATATATGTACAGTTTATGTATTCTATCTGTTACCCTAGCATCCCATAACACAAGCCTTATAATGCTTACTTTGGGGCTAGGCTAATTGGTGTGAGTGTTGGAAATATTTATTTATTTATTTTGTGTTCAGTAATTTATTACTTTTGATCGAGCGTTTTCGATCTTTGAGCGTAACATATATAACAAATTTTATACAATGTCTTCATTTTTTGTTTACACATATATAAATGTATAAAACATGTAGTATACAATATTTGCATCAAACTTGTTGGTGCACCAGTGACTCATCGGTAAACAATGAACAATAACTGTCACAAAATACATGAATCTAGTGCTTGGTGGGTGATAGCAGACCCATTGCGGATTGGTGGTTGAATACGCATCCAGCACAGATTGGTGGGTGACAATGGACCCAGTGCAGATTGGTGGGTGACAATGGACCCAGTGCGGATTGGAGGGTGATAACGGACCCAGCACGGATTGGTGGTTTCTTTTCTATCAACTAATCTTCAGCTTAAGTTTATGATTTTCAGATCATTGGAGCTAAAGAAGTTTCACTTCAGTTGTGTGGACATAAGCACACTTGCTTTTTTTTTACCTTAGAATGTGAGTGTGACTCATTCTAATGTTTCTTGGAGTGCTTGGCACGAAATGTATCGAGTCAGCTTTCTCAATAAACTTCTGTGAGGTAGTCAACACTACAATAAAGTTCCCACATCCACTTGACCGGGATAGCATATATTTAAAAGATTCCACTAATTCTTGAGTTGTGAAGACGGTTGAAACACAAAATCACACCAATTTTATTTCACAATATCCACTATGAACAAATTAAAGAATAATTAAAATAAAACACCAACCGCACTCAATGAAATCCCGCCAAAAAACTCTTTTTGGTATTATTGTTTATCATAAACTTGGCACTGTCTTGTGATCATAAAATAATGAATATGGTTAATACTTACACAGCAATAATTACGAACATAACATTAAACACTGTTTCAACACAGTGTACTTAGTTATTAAACTAGATGAATCAAGGCAATCAGAAACAAAATTATGTATTAGAATATGAGGAGCTCGATGGCGCCAGTGGTTAGCGTTCGGCTGCAGTCGTTGAAGCTGAGCAACTTTTGCAGTGGTCGGTCATTGGATGGGTGACCACAAATTTACTATCTTGAGCTCCTCCGTGCTTCGGAAGGCACATTAAGTTGTTGGTCCTGGCTGCATCTGCAGTCGTTAGCACCCACCAACCCGCACTGGGCCCACGTGCTGGGTCATGGCCCAATCTCCCTGATCCATCCATAGGGAAGGCCTGTGCCCCAGCAGTGGGGACATTAATAGGCTGATGATGATATGTGGTTATACTGATCATAAAATATAAAGGTTAAGGCAGATAAATAAATTAGTAATTGTAAGCACAGTCATCTACACTCTTCCCTACAGTTTCTCTAAGGATAATCGTTTTTTTTTTCTTCTTCTTTCTGTGGCGTTCTCCGTTTTACACAGTAATTTCGCCAATGTCCAGTAGGTAGTGAGAAGACACGAGAAAGACTGCTCGGTAGAAACAGATTAAGGTGATTTAAATAACCGATTATACGTTCTAAGGATAATCGTTGTTGGTTGGTCTATACTCCGCCTAAACTTTAGAGACATTTATCTTCATAGTAGAGTTTTGAATCGCCCTCTGTGCAGAGCCTGCTTGGAGGAAGAGGAGACGAAAGCCCATGTTCTGCTGGAGTGCAGAGGCGTTGCAAGACAAAGGACTTCTCTAATGGGAAGCCCGCGGACCGCAGCAACATCCGGGGACTGCTGAGCTTTTTGGAGGAGCTGGGATGGCAGGACTGATGCCAATCCCCACGCAAAATAGGCACTGTGTGTCGAGTTGCGGAAACAGCCCGCCGTTCTACTAAGACTAAGACTAAGAGTTTTGAATCAAAGTGATACCTGAGAATTTTAGTGGGACCACCCGTTGTTAACACACGTTTCGGGTCAAGCTTGGACATCACACACTTGAATTCGTAGCTGCACGCTGACAATGGTATCGTTAGATCAATTTCTTCGTCCATTTTGTGTCGTGTTTATATTCAATTTCGGCTCAGCGGTGGATAATTAAGGTCCTCAATAAAACAGAAGTCTTCGAACCATCAAAGGTCTTATAGTGTTTTCGTATAAACCCACAAAAACATGTTTTTTGTAATCTGGACTGAAAGAACACAGCAAAACTGATAAGCCTGTCACTGTACTGTCGCTGTCATTTGTGTCAGCCACTCGCTAATAGAGATGTGCCGAGTCAAGCTGACTCGAATACCCAGCAGGTACTCAAGTACTCGAGTACTTACGGTATTCGAATACTCAGTCGTTGTACTCGTACAGTGAAGTTAGTAACGTGAAGTGTTGATGAGTTGGTGCAGGTTTGAACGTGTTTATGTTTCCTACTCGGCCCATAACTTTAATGGGATGTAAACAAAAGTTTAATTACATATTTGTTTCTTATAAGTAATTACCTATTTTAATTAGTCGAACTCTCGATTACCAGTTTAACTGTAGAATTTGTGTAAAGTTTTACTGTTTTTTAACTAGTGACTTTGTGATAAGATGGCTCCGAAGAAAAAATCCGAAGTATGGAATTTTAATAATATTTTAACAAATAAAAAAGTGGAGTGCAAAGAGTGTAAAAAAACATTTGTTAATTTTGGAAACATCATAATCATCATCCTTTGATTTATACAGCGATAATAGAAAAAAAGTAAGCAAAATGAAAACGAAAACTTGGATGAGAATTCTGATTTGAACTTGGAGTCATTAAACTCATTAGCATCGTCATCTACAATTCAATTAAATGACATTGAGCAAGTACCAGCGAAAAGTCGTAAAAGACTGCTATTATATATATAGTCGTGAAATGCTATTCAAGTCAACTCGAATAATATAGACCGGGGAGGGAGGAGACTCGAAGAATTACAAGGTCCGATTCAAAAAATATTCGAGACCAGAAAAGTTTTCGAATACTCGTGCTAGTATTCGAATACCTATCCGAGTCTTCCGACTCAAGTCCTAATTCAAATATTTTTTTAACGAGTACTAAAATACCCAAATACCAAAAAACCGACTCGGTACATCACTACTCGCTGCGGTCCGTATTGCGCGATTTCGTACAATTTGCACCGATAGCACAGAATATAATAATATACACTACGCGAACCGATAGCGCGCATACAAAAATGGTCCGATAATAATGTATTCATGCCAACGAAATCCATTTGACGCAATGACGTTAACAGTGACATCAATCAAGTTTTTTTTTCTTGTTTGTCTTTGAAGTAATGACTCTTCATACCCACTCCTCAAAGGTTTTTCCGTCAAATCACCCTGAGGCAGTCCTGTTGTATCTACAACCTTTAGGGCCATCGTCATAGTACAGTCAATCTGTCGAAAAAAAAATCGTCAGTGAAAAAAAACTTAAAGGTAAGTCTTGTTTTTTCTGTTGCCAAATGACGTCAGTAAGCCACCTTGGCGATGGGCATGTTCAACTCGTAGGCATTTTTAAAAAACTCAAAAAAATCCTCAAAAAATTTTTAAAACGCATTTTTCTAGTTTTGTATGCATTTTAGAAACTTTTTTTTCGACCATAATTGTAGAGGGTGTTGAGTACTACAATGTATGTCATTGTTGCAATCTCGTAAAACAAAAAATGCGCATTGTAGGTGGCGCTAGTCTAAAAAAAAAAGTTTTTTCACCCTGAAAATATCATTTTAATGGAAAACTTTAAATGGAAATGTTGTTCCGTACATAATTACCAACAACTTTCGTATAAACAATTTTTTAGGTTTTTTTTCACCACTCAACCTACAGATTGACTGTACTATCAGTCATGTATGTGTCATATAAATGTAGCGTTTTGTATGCGATATTATAAGGTGCCAGCAGCGTCCCATCAGCAGCCGCTGCGATCATTAGTGAAGTAAATCTCTTATTAATCATAGTCACTAGACCGAGAGAGTGATGAACCACCATCTCCCTCTGTTTTGCAAATGTTTTTTCTCCTTCCCATCATTTTTAGTAATTTTACAGTTAGTTACTTTCGTCGTAGTTCTCTAAGTTGCACAATGGTACGCCCCATCCAGAGATAAAACCAATTCGCCAAAATACTAGTTAATTTATAATTTTTATTATTTTTTAAAGCATGTAACTGCTTGATGTTTAAATCTAAAGAAAATATAACTAGAAAAAATTCCACGCGGACCAGGCAGCAGACGGGACTCGAACCCGCACCCTTCGCAATCCGGGCGAATGCACTGACCAATTATGCTACCGCGGCCCTCACGGACCGCGTCGAAATTCTTTCTAGCTATTCTTAAGCTGCAAGGCAGCGCCATCTCTTCGCATTATAGGTAAACCCACAATGTCAAATGAATACTTTTACAAGTATTAAACATTTGAAAGAAGAAATAGCAATTATAGTTATAATTTTTATTATTTTTTAAAGCATGTAACTGCTTGATGTTTAAATCTAAAGAAAATATAACTAGAAAAAATTCCGCGGTCCGTGAGGGCCGCGGTAGCATAATTGGTCAGTGCATTCGCCCGGATTGCGAAGGGTGCGGGTTCGAGTCCCGTCTGCTGCCTGGTCCGCGTGGAATTTTTTCTAGTTATATTTTCTTTAGATTTAAACATCAAGCAGTTACATGCTTTAAAAAATAATAAAAATTATAACTATAATTGCTATTTCTTCTTTCAAATGTTTAATACTTGTAAAAGTATTCATTTGACATTGTGGGTTTACCTATAATGCGAAGAGATGGCGCTGCCTTGCAGCTTAAGAATAGCTAGAAAGAATTTCGACGCGGTCCGTGAGGGCCGCGGTAGCATAATTGGTCAGTGCATTCGCCCGGATTGCGAAGGGTGCGGGTTCGAGTCCCGTCTGCTGCCTGGTCCGCGTGGAATTTTTTCTAGTTATATTTTCTTTAGATTTAAACATCAAGCAGTTACATGCTTTAAAAAATAATAAAAATTATAACTATAATTGCTATTTCTTCTTTCAAATGTTTAATACTTGTAAAAGTATTCATTTGACATTGTGGGTTTACCTATAATGCGAAGAGATGGCGCTGCCTTGCAGCTTAAGAATAGCTAGAAAGAATTTCGACGCGGTCCGTGAGGGCCGCGGTAGCATAATTGGTCAGTGCATTCGCCCGGATTGCGAAGGGTGCGGGTTCGAGTCCCGTCTGCTGCCTGGTCCGCGTGGAATTTTTTCTAGTTATATTTTCTTTAGATTTAAACATCAAGCAGTTACATGCTTTAAAAAATAATAAAAATTATAACTATAATTGCTATTTCTTCTTTCAAATGTTTAATACTTGTAAAAGTATTCATTTGACATTGTGGGTTTACCTATAATGCGAAGAGATGGCGCTGCCTTGCAGCTTAAGAATAGCTAGAAAGAATTTCGACGCGGTCCGTGAGGGCCGCGGTAGCATAATTGGTCAGTGCATTCGCCCGGATTGCGAAGGGTGCGGGTTCGAGTCCCGTCTGCTGCCTGGTCCGCGTGGAATTTTTTCTAGTTATATTTTCTTTAGATTTACTAGTTAATTTTTTCAGGGGAGGCTGCTGCTCCTACACGTCTCCTCTCCGTCTGAAGCCTCTAGACCACTGGAACCTGAGGGGGTCGGCTCAACTAGAGGGCGTCTCTGAGACTATGTATAGCGATACCTGTATCTGGTATAGCGTGTCGTGTGTAGACCGGGTCTTCCCAATCTTATCCTACGGGTGCGGTGTCTGCCTAATGCCAAGCTAGTGTGCACGTTTGCTAGCTGTGTAGTATTGGTGTTTGTGGCCTGTGTGGGAAGAATCGGAGGTCCGTTAAAAAAAACACAGTACTTATCTGATAGCCTATGTGTTCTTGGATAGATAATAAACAGTTGACACCAACCAAATCTGCTAATTTCTTTTGGCACGTTTCGAGAGACACAAAGACAGCGTTTGAAAATTGCACTCTTTCAACTGATATTTTGATGACTTTAAACTTTACGGTGATTAAGTGTTACCATTGTGTACGATAAAAAATAAATACTATACCTTAAAACAACACAATAATTTAGACTTTATTGCTCGGACATAAGATTTCATTTTAACTAATGTTCTCAGTTTCGTCCTTTCACCCAGTTTTACTGCACCTAACTGTAACCGTTAGGTATACACATCTATGGTATACAACGTGAATTTTGAGTTACCTGATGGTTATGACCATAGAATATACCATCCATAGTTACAAATTGCTGCAGTTGATGTTATAAGGTTAAAATCATGAAACTAGACATGAATACATGATTGATCTTAAGGCCATATGCCATATGAATGAATTTGCAAATCGTAAGTGGTCCAGCCCAGATTTAGGGCCCTCCACCACGGTAATATTATATATACAGTATTCTTCCTTCATACAAACGATCGGAAAGCGTGTCATACCTACGCCACTCGAGTTCGCGCGGCACCCGGTGGGCATCCAGCCGCGAATGCACCGCAGCGACGACCGAACGGGTGAATTGTTTTTAAGCAGTTAGCCGTGCTTAAACGTTTGTATTGTGAATATTTGATTGAATGAAGTAAATACCTACATAATTTAATATGGCAAAGAGCAATAGCAATGTAATATTTTTTTTACATATTAAGTAAAATATTTACAATCACAAAACCAGAAAGAAACTCAATTACGTAGATGAAATTAAAATACTGTAAGCGGGCAGCCCAGTGGCTGGCAGGAGCTGGATGCGAGCAGCCCAAGATCGATCGGAGTCGCGTGTATTTGGAGAGGCCTATGTCCAGCAATGGACTAAGATAGGCTGTTGATAAGGCGGACAGCCCTACAGCATGGATGCGCCCCGCTCGGCCGTAGGCGATTATTTCAAGGACAGGGCCGAGTCACAATACTGTATAGATAATATTACCGTGCCTCCACTGCTTCCCCTCGCCTCCAGACCTCTAAATCAGACCCTAGCTCAATGTGTATCTGGGGTTTTAATTGACGTTGTTATTAATAAATAAGATGATGACGGTTGATAAATAAAAAGCTCGAACATTCAATTTCTTTCAAACGCTTATTAAAACTCAAAACAATAACAATTGACATCAAACAATCACCAAATGATTTCCACTTATTCTTTTACTTACACAACTTAATCGGATTGCACAACACACCTACAAGAACAGACGCGGTCTATACAACATCGGTGGTTCACCATAGCTAGATTTGTCTTTTCCAAGAACAGTTCTCACAATCAAATTCCTAGGAGAAAATGGATTCTTCTTGTAAAATAACTTCTTGAACATTGCGTTTCTCATTTTCATGTCGCCTTCTGCCAATTTTTTCTGAGTTTTGTATGTAAAATTGTCGGATTTATCCAATTCATTTACTTTAGCTTGTAAAGTTTTCCAGTTAAAGTTTCCTAATTTACTACTAGGTAGTATTTTAGTTGGTTGCGGCTTCCCGGCCGTTTGTGTTGCGCAATTTCTAGCACCATATTCGTCGATTCTTTGGACTGAAACAGGTTCTTGCATTCTCTTCTTAAACCTTCGAAAAAATGGCATCTTTCTTTCACTCTGCGTACCTGTGCTTTTTACCTCTATTTCTTTTAAGCATAATGGCACTTGAGGTTGCGTGTGATGAAGATGACCATAGGGGTTGGGGTAAGGGGGAGCGGATGGATGTGGTCGCGGGGACTGGTACGGAGAATCTGTACGATGACCACAAGGAAGTTTATGGTTATTATAACATTCATACATAGGAGATTGCGTGGAACTGCCATGTCTAGGACATTTATGGGGACAGCCTCTTGGAGATCCGGAACAGGAATGGTATGGTTCGTTACGCGTCGGTATCGGCGGACGATTGCAATATTCTTGACAGTGCATGGAGTAGTTCGTAATTTCCTGATGAAATGGTGGCTTAGCTTTTATACTGACTTCAAAAGTACTCTCACTTTCGCTAACTTCTTCAATTACATCTTTTTTCTTTTTCAGTAGGCCAAATGAACGTAGCACTTTTGTAAACTTGTTTTTCTTAATACCCTGAAAAATTAAATTACTTTAGATTGAACCGTAATTTTAATAGGCTTCAAAAGGTACATCACACACAACAAATGCTCGTATTTATTCGCTCATCTAGGGAGGTGATCTTCACATTACAGAAGATAGAAGTGGAGTTAAATAAACAAAAATATATATAAAAAATACTATTCTGTAGTATTGAACTCGTGTCGTAAGTAAGAGAGTCAGGTTCAATGAACCTCATGGTGCGGCGAATTGATTCCAATCTGCGAGATGAAAGAAGCAGGAGCCGTGCGTATTTATCTACCGCCTTTTGGACGCCTGAGCAATTTTCGCAACTGAACCTTTTAAAAACTTAGCATAAGGTGTGGTGGTGGTATATTTACATTGCATTGCACATTATTTTATATGGTGATTTACCTTTTTCAAATTAATTTGTTCGCTACTCGATTCCGACCCTGTAGTAGAGGCTGTGGCTTCCAGGCTAAGCCTTTCGAGTACGGTGTCTGAATAGGTTGGATTGGTCCTGGAGTATAATGTATCGGACGTCATCCTAGAACCGATTGCTTCACAGCTTTTCGAGTGACATTTTACTTTCTGCGTCGCTACTTCAACATCGCGCTTAGAAACTCTTGAACTTTCACCGGCACTTCTAGAAGTAAGTAATTTATCATCCTGTCTCCCTTTAGAAGAATCTAGTCTCTCTTTTTTCTCAGGATCTTTTCGAAGATCATTATTTTGATTTTGTGCAACGAATTTATAAATTTCTTTTATTAACTCTTCAGTGTTAGTGCCAGATTTAGCAGTGTTTGATTCATTCGGATTGAGCTGAGCGTCTTTGGAACTATTCACACAATTGCAAGTACAACTAGGAGTAGGCAAGATAAAACCACTTTGCATACAGTTCATTGGACAAATAGGAAGAATAGGATAACAACAAGGATTTGTGTAAGGAGGAATAAAGGACGGAGATTTATTATAGTATTGAGGAATGCTGAAGTTGTTAACGCAAAGACCACTTTCAGGTATTGCTGATGAATTTAATTTGGTACTACTAGGATGATAATCATTAATACATTTGTCCCCAGTTTTGTTTGGAGTCATATCAGAATTACCACAATGTGAGACCGACACTGTTTCCTTTTTTATTTCTTGTAAAAAACTTTGAAGGATGTCTTTAATTTCGCTGAGTGCTTTATCGGTTTTATTTCCTGGTAAGTCTGACTCTTGTGTTTTATTAAAAGTATTATCGTTGTGATTATTTTGCTCTGTATGGTACACTGGAGATGGTGGGAAACTCATAGTACCAATATCTTGTTGTACATGTTGCTCATTCTTAAAATGTTTGGTTAACTGAGATTTACGTTTTCCTTTGTAATATACCATTGCATCTGAAGATTCGTTGCTGTAAAAATCATTGGAAAGTAATCTATGTCTATTTGAAGAATAATTACGACGCTTATACTCGTTACGGTGCATCATGTAATCTTCAAATTCTGTAAAATATTGAGCTTTAAGATTCAGCTTAGGTCTTTGAGTTCGAGGTGAGGGTGGAACTTCCTTATAGTAGTTATGTGGGATTGGGGCATCTATAAACATCTTTCGTCTTGATTTTGGACTTGATTTTTCCTTTACCGGAATAAGGTCGTATTGTTCAGAATCATTATAAACGTCGTATTTATTGTAAACAACTTCTTTCCGATGATGATGATTACGACGCATTTGATTTTTCGAACTGTATAGTTTAGTATCACAGATGCTACGCTTTTCGTCCAATCCATTATTATAAGGGTAGATTTTATTCTTTTTTCGTCCGTCAATACAACAGGAGCATAAGTCTGATCCTTCTAAAATATCTTCACGTATCTTATACTCTTGGTCGCGACAAACCGGTGCTGATATTTGACTCATACCAGATTCTCGCTTACGAATCTTTATTGGTCTGTACTGTCGTTTAATTAAATCAGCGATAAAATCTTCATCCAAATTACGTGAAAGTTTAGTTTTGTGTTTACGTTTACTTTCGTAATGTATAACATTCTGGGGACTATTTCTTCTAATACTAGGTTCCTTCAGTTTTTTAACTTTAATCGCTTTAGTTGGTATAGGGTCTATGCAATCGCGTTGCCGATGTTTCTTTTCATAGTGTCTTCCATGATATAAAGTGTCGCGAACGTAAGGCGTATGATGATTATTGAGTGAGTGGCAGCTGCTGGTGGTCGCATGTGACCCAATTTTTTCATACGCAGATTGGGTTTTGTGCTTGCGTAAATTTGGTTGACTTTCATTGATCACCTTCAGTTGATCGTCCATTTTATTCTTTATTTTAATCTTTTCTTTGTTTGCATACTGATTAGTAGGCATGTTATCGTATTTTACAGTATATTTACTACTGGGATCATTATCTAGATTTCCAAGGCCTCCGCTATCATCAGATTTCCTATATTCACTCTCTGGTGTTTTAAACAACAGTTTCGTCTCAACTACGCTAGACTTTTTTAATGATGAAACATCGGAATGTTCTTTCAAAGAGGCGAATTCGGTTCCATCTTCAGTATCTACAAGAATTGGGCAATCATTCTTGGAACTCGTTTCAATACCAGCTAAATCTTGACAGTGCTTATTCACTTCATTGAGCTGATGCTCCAAGCCATTTATTTTGTGTTTCAAGTCCGTAACATTAATCGCTATACTAGAATTTATTTTAATGTCCGGTTGTGATGGGCTACCTGTAACAGAATTTATGAATTAATATATTGTTCTTATTTGGTGTATAAAGATATTTAGATTTTTTTATTAGCAATATCAAGAAATATCTCAAAATCCGTCATTAAAATGTAAAAAGCTGTATTACAAAAATTTGAACTTCGGTCGGGGATTGAACCCGGAAACTCAGACATGGCGACACCATAAAACCGCTGTCTGTGTAAGCCACAGTGGTAATACGGAGTTCCGTCAGTTTTAGAGTGATCATTGAAATACGAACCTATGGCTCTTCGCAGAAAGTCTTTTATGGCCCGGTACCGCAGCTTGGTCCGGGGTGAGATGCGGCGGCGCGGCGTGCGGAGGGTCATTACCATCCCTCAGCCCGGCGACGCCTAACAATAAAAAAAAAATTAGAGCCTTTCCTCATATATTAAACAAATAACTATAATTACGTCACAACAATATCAATATCGAGGAGCTCGATGGCGCAAGTGGTTAGCGCGTTCGGCTGCGATCGTTGAAGCTAAGCAACTTTCGCAGTGGTCGGTCATTGGATGGGTGGCCAAAAATTTACTATCTCGAGTTCCTCCGTGCTTCGGAAGGCACGTTAAGCCGTTGGTCCCGGCTGCATCTGCAGTCGTTAGCACCCACCAATCCGCACTGGGCCCGCGCGGTGGGTCATGGCCCAATCTCCCTATTCCATCCATAGGGAAGGCCTGTGCCCCAGCAGTGGGGACATTAATAGGCTGATGATGATGATGATGAATATCAAACTAAAAACTTATCATTAAAAATTAACCCTAAAATATTAATATACATATTCACAAGAGGAATATGTCATCCAAAATTCCAATTTGGGGCGTGGTACCCAGAACACTGGCAGCATTACCTCGCTGAACGGCTAAACTGACTCTCTGCGCGAAATAGCTGCCAGCCCTCTGATCACGCGAAGAGAGAATCAGTCGATTCGACATATCCTTCATAAACCGCTTCATGTCGGCCGACCACGACCCTAACGTCTCGAAAGCTAACGCCGTAAACTCATAATCTTCAAGAGTATTTACGACGCTTTCCTCATATTATTTTATTATTTAATAAATATCATACTCAGTTGTGTTTCTGTGACCAGGCACAGAACAATGCTTAGTGTTACTACACCCACAGGTACCACATGAAAACATGTTCAAGTTTTATGCACAGTCAACGTGCAACGTCGACGCGACGGTGATGCCGCAGCGATGCGACCCCAGTGTAGGCCGGCTTGCAATATAGGTACTTGATTGATACCAAAAAAAAATAAGTTGAAACCGCGTCGACGCGACGCCAGTGATGCGGAAAGCTTTGGTCTCTTGATCGTAAAACACCACGCTGCGTTATGTGGCTCAATCAAACCATGACAGACCCACCATACCCCTAGCCATACCCCTGGGGGTAGGGTGGGACTGAACCATACCACCGTGATAGTGCTGGGATTTTATGGAAAAATAGAATAAAAATAGATACCTAACAGATACAAATATTTAGTTTATTAATAAAACCGAAATCCGTTCTGGCAAAACCTAAAAATATAACAAATACTTATTTTGTTATTTATCTTAAACAGAAAAACTTAAAAGATGTTAATCTATGTTCTTAATTTGTCTAACGTATGCCCAATGGTGATTTTGTTGTGCACTAACTGCATTTACTACGTACAAAAGGATACTTGAAATAAATACACGATAAGATTATTATTGAGAACAATCAAGTAAAAATGAATTAGAAGTACATATTTATACTATGTCGTATGGGATGCTATTGACACCAGGTACCTACGTAATATTCGGTAAAACAAAACCTGAAAGCATATAGTGCACAGCACTACGGTGGTAGGGATGTGCGATCCGATTTTTCGGATCGTAATGGATCGTAATGCTACGATCCGATCCGCGGATCGGATACGGTGGTATGGTTCAGTCCCACCCTACCCCTGGGGGTATGGCTAGGGGTATGGTGGGTCTGTCATGAATCAAACGCAGCGTCACGACGTAGCGTAAGTACCGTCTCTGCGGAGAAGTGGTCTGTTGATTTTTAAACTATCTTCAAACAAATTCATTGTCAACCCGTGACACTCACCGCAAAGAATAGACAAGAACGACGCTGCGCAGTGTGGAGTACCCGCACTCCACTTTACCGTACTAGCCTTAGATTAAAGCAAAAAGGGTAGATACGGTACGCTCATACTTGCATCAAACAAAAACTGATCCCACGGCAGCGCGAACGGGACGGCGAGATCCGCGTCACTGCATTACCGACCCGAACGAAACAGCACGTTAAGTTTCAATGGCATCGCGGCAGCGCGAATGAGATGGCGAGATCCGCGTCACTGCACTACCGACCAATACTCGACGTCCCTACCGAATAAGATTCAAAACAAACAGCAAGTTTTTTGAAAAAATATATTTTATAGTACTTACGAATGAAAAGTGATGCCGTGGGTTTTATTTTTAGTTCTTGAGCAATTTGAGCACTTTTTAAAAACACACTTAGGCTGTTTTATCATATAAACACAAAATATTAGCAATATTTCTTTATGGCGTTCACATGTACGTCGTTTGCATGTCAAGTTGTGACTAAAGCGATTAGGGTCGTGGACCACAATTTATGCGGATCACTTTTGTGAGCCTAGTGCCGTATCTACCCTTTTTGTTTTAATCTAAGGCTTGCCCTTCGCCGCTGACCGCTGACACATACTGCGGCAGAACAAGAGATCTTCTAGACGTTTTCCTTACGATTATGTGTTCGCTCTCTGAATGAACTCTGGCACCACATGCCGCATACTGCAGCATTGTGCGTTACAATCAAAACACCAAAGCTAGCCTTACAGACTGACCACAGACACGGCGCGTCGTGCGAAACGCTACAATAACAAAGTGAACTGTACAGGATAGAGTATTTATTTTATTTAGTTTATTTTATTTATTTACTCTTTATTGTTTTGTAACAAATGGCGGACTTAATGGCAAATGGCATTCTCTACCAGTCAACCATCGGGCTAAGCACAGACATTATGCGGTAAAGTAAATTAAAGCATTATGGTAAAAGAGAAAGAAAAACAAAATAAAACTGATAAAACTACATATTACTTAATAATTATAATGTAACATCTATAAATATACCTAAATAACGACCTATATATATACAGGGTGAAATTGAATGTTTCTATGAAACTTCGTGAGATTGATGGGTTACATGTATAGAGTATGCCTGATTTTTTTCGGATTTTTTAAAATATTTTTTTTCGTTTTTTAATTTTTTATTTGGTTATTTTTTTGTCATTTCTTCCTTATGAGTAATTATTCATTTTAAACACGTCTACATAGAAGTTATAAAGCAACTTAAAATAAGCACTACTAAAAAAACGGAAACTTAATGAATGCCTTCATTATGCCTCCAGTCGAGATCAGCGCCGGTCGGGGCGACGACCGGCGGCCGCCTGTAGGTACCTAACTACACGCACAGATGACTCGGCGCTTACCTACTCGCTTTGATCCACACTATTTAAAAACAATACAATAAAATAGTCTTAGATGCTATATTATAATTATTTATTCACTGATACACAATACCTTTGAATATTATTTCATAAAGCACAGGTAATTAATCAATAAAATAAATCTTCTTAAAATTAAGAGCAAATCGGTATAACTTACGAGCTTAGTGAAGGAAGGAACTCTTCGTGTCTGATTTGCCCACGTCATGAAATTCCGAACACATTTAATCACAGCCACAGCCACACATACACACACACACATAATAATATGTTGTTTTGCGGCAAGCACAGGCGGGCGGCGCGCCGCACGCTGGCAACTAGCGCCGGTTGCGGCGTCTTTGATGATGTGAATTCCTCTTCCCCGCACGCGGACGTTTGCTTTGATTGCATGCAAAACGCAGTCGCAAGTATATTAATCGCGCGTGAGCGTGCGCATCTTTTGACTTGGTGACATACACTGTGATAATTTCATTATGCCTCGGTATACAAACCAAGAATATTTAGAGATGGTGTACTGCTATCGCGAGTGTGACGAAGTAGGTTTGGTTTACGAATGAGTCCCTAAACCATAGAAGTTGCATTTTGTGCAGTGAGTAGTGATAGGGACACTTTAAAAAAGGTGAAAAGACACGTCCGCAAACAGGCAACCTTTGTTTGCAGCAAAATGGTGGTTTAGAGCAACAATTTTGCAGATAATAATTTAAGTCTCTTTTTATTGCTAGTGTAAATACTTTTTGATCAGAAACAACTAATTGTGTACTACCAGTGTGATTGATTTGATAAAAAGTTCTAGTGAAAAAAATGAATATGTTCCTCGTTCCTCGTTGTACCTACCTAAATCGCCGGTCTCGTAAGTACTTTTGAATACCTGGTTATAAATTTCATTCTTGGGGTATTAAGCAATAAGTATTTCTTTTTGTTTAACATTTGCCTATTTCCAATCGTGACAAAATTATTATTAACTTTTAAAGTTTTTCTCTGCTTAAGAAAAGATGACATTTGTGCTTATTATTTCAATTTCAATAAAGGCATCTAAGACGATTTTATTGTACCTATTGTGTGGAATCAAACGAGTCAGTTGAGCTCTGTGTAGAGTTAGGTAGCTACTTACTCAACGGCTGGCGGGCGCGGTCGGTCGTTGACCCGCGGTGGAATTTCAATGTTTTTCCGTTTTTTAGAAGTGCTTATTTATTAGTTGTTTTTCACTGGATATGTAAGTTTGTTTGTTTAAAATGAATAACTACTCAAAACGAGGAAAGGACATAAAATTATAAATTATAAATAAATACATGAAAAAAATATACTTCAAAAAAATCCGAAAAAAGACAGGCATACTCTATACACATAACCCAACAATCTCACGAAGTTTCATAGAAACATTCAATTTCACCCTATATAACATATTTATAATACGATAAATACATATTTAACATATTTATATCTTTATATATATAATTCTTCTGTGAGTGTGTATGTCACTGAACTTCTCTTAAACGACTGGACCGATTTTGATGAAATTTTTTATGTGTGTTCAAGGGGATCTGAGAATGGTTTAGATTCACAATTTTGTCCGCTGGACAACCCCTATTTTTTTAGGGCGGTACGAAGTTCGCTGGGTCAGCTAGTATACGATAAATACCTACACATATACAATAATAAATACCACTATACTTACTTAAGAGTATCCTACCTTTAAAAGACTGATGTATTTTACCCGTGATGAAATTGCACTTCATTTTCCGAAATCATTTTATTTAATATTTTCTCTTTTTATTTCCAAGTTACCAAGGCAGTTGCGCTTAAAGTTAAATTTTATCTAGTGGTTTTTAATACAAAACATTTGACTTTTGAATTTCATCTATATCCTGTGACAGTAGGTAGTTGATTATTTTTTAAAGTTTTGTAACGTTATTAATCAAAAAGTTTTTATTATGTAGGTAAGGTGCAAAACAAACCATATACGAAAATTGATTTTTGTGAGTTTCCTTTAGGTTTTCTAAAAACGTCATAGGACAACTCGGAAGGATGCAAACTTAAAAAAAAACTGATTCAAATCCTTTATAATTTTGCCGTAGAGATAAGTTGTGCTTTGGTGCAGGAAGCCGATCGTTTGATACAAGTAATAAAAAGCTAGGACTAGGCAAATTCAAATTTTAGTGTTTTTTTATGTTATACGAGCAGATGGCTCACCTGATGGTAAGTGATTACCGTCGCTCATGGACACTTGCGACAGCAGGAGTATCACAAATGCGATGCCGGCCTTTTAGGAAGGAGTACGCTCTTTTTTTGAAGGTTTTTGGATCGTGGTCCGGAAACACTGCTGGCGACAATATATTCCACAGTTTTGTCGTATGTGGTGAAAATTTTCGACAAAAACGCACGGTTGTGGTTAGCCATGCATCAAGATGATAGGGATGAAATTTTTGTCGCGATGTACGATGGCGAAATGCAGCAGCTGAAATTAATCCGAATAACTCCTCGGAACACTCCCCGTGATAAATGCGATAGAAGATGCAGAGCGAAGCTACATCCCTACGCAAATCCAAAGGATCAAGCTGATCGGAAAGGTCCTGGTCGTAGACTATTCGAGCCGTCGAGATATCTAGACCATTCGATAGTACCTACTGTACCCCTAGCACGAACCAATATCGAATTCGTATCGTTTACGAGTCCGAAATGTCATTGTCAAATGTGTACTGATTTTTAATTTTCGTTACGTACTTTGTGCCGCTGCTGTTCAAGTTTCCATACAAAATTTGACATTAACATTTCGGTTTGCAAACTATTCGAATTCGATAATGGATCGTGCTAAGGGTACTGGAGTCATTACCTTAGCCAACACATCAAAATTCGTCTCACTGTTTGGATGAACGAAAAAATTACGAAAAAAGAAACTAAAACAAGGACATTCTGTTTAAAAGCCTCTAATTAAATTCTAAATAACTTCTTTTTTGAAGAACTAAATACAGGAAAAATAGATTTGGAGCTTATATCTAGCTGAAGAAGTGTGCCTACAATCCTACAAACGAAAAAGGTTTTTAAAAAAAACATAGAGAAAATAACGGAAAAAGAACCCGTGTTGTTAAATAAAATGTCAGATTTCCTGTTTGATGGGTTTCTGTCATCCAAAATTTGAGAAATATTTTTAGGCGAAATTTTATAAAAATATATATACCTGTAAACAACAAATATACAAATAATGTTTTCGAAATTCTTACGAGCGACAGCCGCGCTCAAGTGGGGTCTAAAATCTCGACAAAGTCAGAGTGCGAAGCAGTTTTCGGGCTTGATTCCACCGAACCAGTATGATTCACCGATACCGAAGAGACTGCATTTGGGATACGTGCTGAAGGAGTACTGGGAGACGATACCTTTGTTCGTGACTACTTGCGCAGCGATGTGTGTGTTATTTGGATCGATTGCATGGGCATGTGCACATAAAGTAAATACCATTACCTTTTTTTTTTCTTTTTGAAGTTATACTTCTTTAGGCGCGTTATGAAAAAATGATGAGAGTGAAATTTTAAGATGCGCGCGCATCACTGTAACACAAAATTTTAACAGCATGAAGTTGGTAGCTTTAGCGACCTACTTCATGCGTTACTTTTGTGTTTACCGCACATTAAGAAAATCTACCAACAAAATAGAGATAGAATCTCTATTTAGTGGGTGCTAACGACTGCATTGTGAAGGCCTATCAAAAGTATTTATTAATCTGGAACAACGGAACCAAAGCGCAATTCAGGAGACTACAGCGCCATCTCTTGACCATTGGTGTAGTAGAACCAAAAACCACATCTTTATTTTTTGTAATAAAGTAACAGTTATAGGTATTCATATTTATAATATTTATCCACATGTTTCTAGTTTGTATATTCGGAATACGTGTTTGAGTTTCATACAAGTGCAAATCACATATGTTCTAATAAATTATATTCAGTAGCGATTTTAATTGAATATTTTGATTATTTATTTATTTTTTCAAATTAAAACTGAACTTTATTGACTGTGTCCTTTTCCAGACTTTTTATTAATTTATTGTAATTAATTATTTGCGAGCAATTAAAAACTAATTTTAAATGATGCCAAAGAAGGATAACTTCTCACGCGCCTACATAAGTACACGCACCCATTTTTTTTTTGTTTCCTCCCAGGCGGGGGAGAGGGTGAGAAATCCTCATGGATACCCTACAGCCGGCTGTAAGGTTATGTCAGACTCTTACTGACTAAAAAACACCCTTTAATCATGCTTATGGCCAGAAGGGCCTTACAAGCTTCATCTGAAGCGATCAACCCCCGAGATGATGCGGCGCTGCGTTAGTTTAAACTAGTGCATAGTTTAAAATAACGCAAAATGCGCTTAGAGGACAAGTGCACTCAGATGTGCACTTGAAACGGGAGGGGACTGAGAGGAATCGAACCTCTCTGTGTCGGGGGGGTACCATTACTTCGATTCCTATAAATTTAAAGCCTCGATGACACAGAGCTAATTTACAAGTTACAAGCCAGCGGGTTAGCTAGCAGCTTGTAATTTCTCCCCGTGTCATCGGCTTTTAGCCTAGACGACACGGGGCTAGTATACAAGCTGCTACAAAACCAAAACTAGACCGAGGCTTTAGGCAGAATCTGGCTAAACTGTACTTCCAGGGCCCAAGTGGTGATACTTCACACTAGGTTAGGTTAGGTCAGTGTTGTGATCAAGTAAAACCTGGGTTCCGAACCTGGGGGTAATTACCCCTCCGGGGATAAATCAGCCATACTTAGAGGGTAACAAAGAACCTAATTACAGTGCAACCTCGATCTAACAAATCGGAATGGAACAAGTAAATATTCGTTATATTAAGTAATTCGTTCAACTGAGGTTTGTTGTATTGAGATTAGGTTAGTCTAAAATTTGTTATAAAGAGGTAAAAAGATATTTTTCTGTCATGACATGAATCACGTACTATGGGATAAGGGCCATATAATCTATATATTGATGGAAACGTTATACAGAGGTTTGTGGTTCACAAAATTCGTTATTTAGAGGTATTTACACTTTTTTTGATAGTTGAAAATTTGTTATAAAGAGGTTGTTCGCAAAAATATTCGCAATGTATAGGTATATTTTATATTGACTCTTACGGAAAATTCTAGGGGATTACGAAGAATCTGTTAAATCAAGGAATTCATTATATTGAGGTACGTTATATTAAGGTTGCACTGTATTTGGTCAAATCTAAATAATAGGAAAATACTATATATTAATACTACTGAGGAGCTCGATGGCGCAAGTGGTTAGCGCAATCGGTCGGCAAATTGTTGAAGTTAAGCAACTTTCGCAGTCGTCGGTCATTGGATGGGTAACCAAAAATTTACTATCTCGAGCTCCTCCGTGCTTCGGAAGGCACGTTAAGCCGTTGGTCCCGGCTGTATCTGCAGTCGTTAGCACAAACCAAGCCGCACTGGGCCCGCGTGGTGGGTCATGGCCCGATCTCCCTATTCCATCCATAGGGTAGGCCTGTACCCCAGCAGTGGGGACATAAATAGGCTGATGATGATATGATTGATGAATACTACTAAATAGAGCACGCGCTCCTTCTTGCTAGCGAGCCCGCGGGGTGCTGAGTGTGGGAAGCGGGGCGAGATTTTCTCCTGATGATGACATTATTAGAGACGAAGATGTAGCGGCCAAATTGGAATTTCTTGAACTGATGATAACATTTTAAAGTCGGGGTAAAATCTATTTTCCTAATAGGTTACAGGGGTATCACTGAAGTAAAATCGAGTATCACCTCTTGGGCCCTGGAAGTACAGTTTTACCCACAATCTTATTGGGCCTTTTTTACTTTTCTATAACGGTACATGCCCCCAATATACAATAAATAAAGTAAGAAAAAAAGATTCACTATGCTAGCTTTACTAAATTCCTAGCAGAAGTTTTCTTGTGCTTTCCACAGTGCGTAATATTGAGGTTCACGCATCGTGGTAAAACATCTTTATGAATTCATTCATTCATCTGTGTGACAAACGTCAATAGTTTACATTCAGATCATTTAGTATTTTGTGATAGTAAATACTATGAGAGGCAATTGAGAAAAACTTACCTAATTATTTCCTGTGTACTGATTTTTAGTTCTCGTTGCGTCCGTTGTTGCGCTGCTGTTCAAGTTTCCTTACAAAATGTGACAATGACATTTCGCACTCGCAAACTATTCGAATTCGATATTAGTTCGTGCTAAGGGTACAGGTTGAGGAGCTCGACGTCGCAAGTGGTTAGCGCGTTCGGCTGCGATCGTTGAAGTTAAGCAACTTTCACAGTGGTCGGTCATTGGATGGGTAACCAAAAATTTACTATCTCGAGCTCCTCCGTGCTTCAGAAGGCACGTTAAGCCGTTGGTCCCGGCTGTATCTGCAGTCGTTAGCACCCACCAATCCGCACTGGGCCTGCGTGGTGGGTTATGGTCTCCCTATTCCATCCATAGGGAAGGCCTGTGCCCAGCAGTGGGGACATTAATAGGCTGATGATGATGAAGGGTACAGGCTCCAGTTCAGTAGTGTCACGCACTTGCCGCGCATTCACCCTAAAATTCTCTTGCTGTGCTATGACTCGCGCCAACTGACGACCTCCGTGGCCGAGTGGTTTATACGCCGGGTTTCATGGCGTCGCCGACTCGAGAGGTCCCGGGTTCGAATCCCGGTGGGGGCAGATGTTTGTGTGATGAATACGAGCATTTGTACTCCAGTCATGGATGTTCAATATGTATTTCATATAAATATACTTATATATATTATAATATATATATATGTACAATATATGTATTCTATCCGTTACCCTAGTATCCCATAACACAAGCCTTTACAGTGCTTACTTTGGGGCTAGGCTAATTGGTGTGAGTGTTAAAAAAAAAAAAAAAAAAAAAAAAAAAAAAAACTTCACAACAATAACTTTAAATTGCACTCTACGAACTGTTCTTTCAAATAAACATCATTGTATTCTCCATTAGGTGGACGTAGTGTTTACGACGCACAACCGTGACAGCCTCTCGCGAACGATGGATCTGAGAAACCCTACGATCAACAAGGTGTGTGAAAAATATTTCTAATTCAGTCAATCAGAACTTGAGACACAGATAACTGTTTAAAATTTTCGAGTGTTTCTTATATTAAGCATGAGAACAGCGGCTTGTAGTAGTACTAGCTTATCTGGAAGATCAGTCACCGGGATTGGCGTAAAATATCATTTTCTTTAGACAATCTTTTGATATAGTAGGAGAGCTACTGAACCCTCCGAGTAACGGTCTCTTACTCGCACTGCCGATAAAATATACGACTTATGACGTGCAGGCGATGCTTACCGTACTAAGCATGCTAAGACTCATCACCATAAGAATTTCTAGCCTTACAGACAGACCGTTACTCGGAGGGATCAGTAGTACTTCTTAAATAAGTAAAATATTGTCTGCGTATCGGTGTAGACAACAAGCATAATATGGTTCCTGATATCCTGATGCAAGCCTGATGTAAGTGGACACCATAGCCTATTCCCTACTCGTGGAACTTAGGCAACTTGCTCGTCGCAGGAACACAGGGTTATTTGGCTCCAGTTTCTGAAAGGTGAAAAATATTTACTCATGTAGGCGCTCCATGGCGAATGTATAACTTGCTATACTTCATAATAACATACGCAAAAGCCGTTGACTCGACTTAAAATCATCGCTCATTGAACAAACCGGCACCCGACCACAACACCTCGAGTTTCAGCGCCCACTCACTGTCAGCAGATGGTCCAGGTCCAGTCCTTCCGTGCGTTTTCCACACGCCGTCTACCGTCGTCCATTAGAACCAGGGCTTGTTTACCGGTTAATTTTCAAACCTTAATCAGTGTCAAGTACATTAGGAGCGTTTTATTTAGGTTTGGCTCTAACTTAACCTTAAAAAACCGGTTTTCCTACAAAGCGAAATCAAATAGGTTTTGAATCGATTTAGCGGTTTTTAAAGGGTTTCATTTCGCTCTTACTGATGACTGAAATAAATACACAACTACAAAATGTATAACTTGTCTCACTAGACGCTAGCAAACGTGTCAATAAATGCATCAATCTCTCAGTATTAACAAGTTGTGACTTGATTAGTTCAAACAAAACAAACTTCAAGCGATGCCGACGCGTGCACGTGTCGCTCTGGATTAAACCGGTAAGGTTTAAGGTACCGCTTTCATTTCGGACGCGCTCCGAATGAAACCTTTACTAAAAACCTGTATTAACCTTTATTTGCCGGTATTTTTGAAACCGGTTTCAAGCCCTGATTAGAACAGCTAGCGAGTGTGATGATCCGAATTGATTTAAAAAGCGCATCTTCGTAGAAATTCTCATAAGAAAGTCAAAAAGAAAATGATTATATTGTATTCATTTGAGCCAACCAATATTGCCTCACTATTGGTTGGCGCTAATGAATATATGTATGTAATATAATAATCTTTTTATATTGACACCTTTAACCTGCAACGGTTGTCAACTGCACAAGCTGAGAATCTTTTTTGGCAGTTAACGATTGCCGTTTGAGTGCCGCCGAACATTTGAGCCATAACATGTACGACGCCAATATGATTCCTTTCGTAACAGCCCTTGGGTAGACTCAGCGGCATATGTCGGCAGGCGGCTTTGGTGTTTATTCCGCTATAGGCTGACATGGTTCTGGTGCTGACAATGTCCGTTTATGTTGGCTAGCTGGTCATCATCAACCAGCGGTACGAGCCATGGCCGGAGATGCAGGACTTACTCGACAAGATGAAGAACGCGGAGAAGCGTGCCCTGCTCCGAGCGCAGTCCTGCAACCAGCCTTGACCATAACAACTTCACTACGGGAACGGCGCCTGCGTGAAATTATATTAAAAAAATTAAATTCCTCCGGCTTTTCTTTAAAGGAGATTGTTAAAGGTGTACAAAAGGTTACGTCATATAAAACCTCGCATTCTTCCATCAGCAGCGTACGCGCCGCATTTCGTACAGTCTTTAAGGAAATGCAGCGTGTACAGTGCGGATATATGTGAGATCACCTTAATTCGTTTGTCTTGCGAAAGACGGAGGATTGAACAAATATTTGGCCACCTATCCCACAAACTGGCCATTGCGAAAATTTCTTACTTCCACTATGCAGACGAAACGCGCGCTAATCTCTGCACCTTAGATTTCCTTCTGCTACACTTTCATGCCGTTGCGAAGCGTGTTTAGGGTTCCGTACCCAAAGGGTAAAAACGAGACCCTTACCCTTAGTACGAATTTACAATTACGATAGCTATGATAGTTTTCGTGAGCTCGCACTCGTAGTAAGGGTACTAATTTTTTTGTTTTCGTTTCAATACAAATAAACTGTGTTTAAATTCTATCATTAAATCATATGCGTCTTCTTAAATTTTAATAATATTTGGTTACTTTTCACCAAAATGGACATAGAAACATAGTTTACAATTACGAAAACTAGTTTTCGAGAGCTCAAACTCTTACTAAGGGTACCTATCACTAAGACGCTACTGTCCTTCTGCCTTTCTGTCACCATGCTGTATTACATAAGTCGTGATAGTTGGACAGTTGAAATATTCACAGATGATATATTTATGTTGTGACTATAACAACAACTTTAACTTAACCGTTTTTAACCGTTTTTATAAATAAATGGTACGGAACCCTTCGTGTGCGAGACCGACTTCAACTTGGTCGGTTTTTGATATTTTTGACGAGTTTTGCAACTTTGAAAGATGTTGGCTACCTGTTTTCACATAGCAAAACTTATAACTTAGCAATATGAGTAGAAATTTTTGCATATGAAAAATACGGAAACATGATTATTCCAGTACTTTGTCTCATAAATTTAACAGCTGTAAAATTTTTGTACCTTATATGTTTTTTTTTGGCATGAATAAAAAATATTATTATTATTATATTCGTCATAGAGGAAGTCCTTAGAGAATCTGCCCAAGTGTCGATATTTTTCCCAAAAAACACTCGACAACGCTTTTCCGCAAGAGCAATGCATACTTTTCGTATCATTCTCCTCTCAGAATGCAGCATCCAAATATGGAATACAAAAAATATAAATATTTTTCCACACAAAATAAATTTTATTCGACACCGGATAACAAAGAAGCGACAAATATTGTTTTTATCACATCTCAAAATTTTTATCTTAGCTGACAATTAACAGTGGTTTTCACACTGTGCTGAGCTCGTAACGCAAAGATCTAATACGAGTATTAGTGTCGCCGCACACGGACCACACCCCACAATCACAAACGCCGCCACGAGAAGCTAGAAGCGGCTACTAAAGTGGCTGAGGCGCGCGACAGCAGCCGACTAAGGCAAGGGAGAGAGGGGTGGGGAATCGCGCGAGTGACTTGTGGCGGCGTTTTGTATCGGCACATTAAGTGGCCGGTGCGGGGCACAAGAAGCGAGCAACGACGATTTGTAGCGTGTGGCGGCCACCGGCGTACCGTGTGTAGCGAGTCCATATCGAATGTATGAAAACTACAAGAAATGCATGCCGGTGTCGGCGTTTTGTGGTTGTGGTGGTGGCCCGTGTGCGGCGACACTTGCAGTTTTACTAAGGTTTGCATTACAAAATGTTGACCAAACCCAGGAGGTGAATTCTTAACAAATAAAATAAACATTGTGAGTGAGGAACACAGTACAGTAATACTAATAAATGTTCTTCACATTTTAAGACAAAAATATAGCATTAGTAAAATTATTAAAGTATTTGATGTACTTTAAACATTTGCCAATTAATAATATTTAATAATCCATTCGAAAAGAGTTCGGCAATTAACTACAGAATCGCTAATGCTATGCTATGCTATATATCAAAATACTGCCCGTGAAGTAATACGCTGTTTTATCCCCTTAGTGCATAATCTACTATTAGGCCAATCAAGAGCATGCATCATCCCGTATTTCATAAGAATCTATTCAGCTGTATAATATAGTACAATCTTAACTTTCTAAATAAGTAATATCTACGCAAAGTTTAACACATTAATAACAACAGTAGGTTCACAGAAATTGGCCTGGCAGCGTCAATGGGTGGGCGTGAGACGGCAGGATAGGGGTGGGGTGATATTGGCCAAATGGATGGGGGCAGGGTGTATGTTTGACCAGACCACCCCGCTGAGCGATTGGATCTGCCGATCGAGAATCCGCTGTGTGATTGCGCTCTACATTCCCTTTAATGGTTTTTTTTCCAAAAAAATATATTTTCCTCTTTGTATAAGCTTTTGAAGTTTTTCGTAGTTGACTCGTTGCGTGATTGACATGTAGGAATACGATATTATCTAGATTCTTGTATGTACACACTCTTGGTCTCAGAAAATGGAAGTTATAAAAGTTATAATTTTTATTATTTTAAAGCATGTAACTGCTTGATGTTTAAATCTAAAGAAAATATAACTAGAAAAAAAAATCCACGCGGACCAGGCAGCAGACGGGACTCGAACCCGCACCCTTCGCAATCCGGGCGAATGCACTGACCAATTATGCTATCGCGGCCCTCATGGACCGCATCGAAATTCTTCTAGCCATTCTTAAGCTGCAAGGCAGCGCCATATCCTCGCATTATAGGTAACCCGAAATAACATATAACTATAACATAATTAACTATAATTGCTATTTCTTCTTTCAAATGTTCAATACTTGTAAAAGTATGCATTTCACATTTTGGGTTACCTATAATGCGAAGAGATGGCGCTGCCTTGCAGCTTTAGAATGGCTAGAAGAATTTCGATGCGGTCCGTGAGGGCCGCGGTAGTTATAAAAGTGTTAAATGAAAAACTTTACTATTTGCTGTTAATTATCAGTTTCTTTTTAACCCGACTGCGGAGGGTAATGTTTCTCGAATGTATGTACGTTTGTCCATTTCTTTGGCACGTCCTAAAACCTTAACGAATTGAATTCAGATTAATGATATTCGAAGATGAAGCGTCAGAGATTCAAGTAACAGATACATGGATACTTCTTTTACTCTCATGATGATTTTGCAGTTGATAAAAAGATATAATATATATAACTCATGACGTTAAAAAATCAGCGTCGAGGAGCTGCTTCTGTACTGAATTAATGAATTATTAATCATCATTCAAGATTCATACACACCTACTGAAAGAGTTCTTTTTTGTATTTTTTCCAAAATCGATTTTTTCATCTGGCCTGCCGCGTGATATTTTGTATTAACAATAATTTATAAGTGGGTGGAAAAAATATTGATCAACATATGTAACGTACAGAAAAGTAATATCGATAATTTTGTCAACCCATTTTTGGCAAACAATGTTATTAATTTTACTAGAAAAAATCCACTTGGTCCTGGCATCAGACGGGATTCGAATCTGCACCTTCCATTTTCCGGGCGGACTAACCCATTATGGTACTGCGGCCTTAATGGTCGTGTCGAATTACAGGAAAAGAAAGAAGTTTCTCGGTTAAATTAAATACTAGGGTATTTTTTAGGCCGCACGGTAGCACTATATTGACGAAAATAAAGAAGTATTGTTTTTATCAAAAACCCGCCTGTTTGAAAATTGGCTTTTAATTAATGAATAAAAACTTAAAAGAAAAAGCAATTCCAGTAGTCTAGAATTCTCATTAGTAAGGATTTACTCAGAATAGATCAAATTTTCCCAATAATAGGTCCCAACTGTTAAAGTAGGTTTGTTCTTTACATAACAGAATTCTAGACTACAGTACCCCTAGCACGAACCAATATCGAATTCGTATCGTTTGCGAGTCCGAAATGTCATTGTCAAATGTGTACTGATTTTTAGTTCTCGTTACGTACTTTGTGCCGCTGCTGTTCAAGTTTCCATACAAAATTTGACATTGACATTTCGGTTTGCAAACTATTCGAATTCGATAATGGTTCTTGCTAGGGGTAAGGACTTGTTTTTTGCTTAAATTTCCCTGTAACTACACTAAAAAGAATTTTCACCAGGAAAATTTATAGTATAAAAATAAATTTATATTTTTGTCTTTCACTGCACATAATAGGCTAGTTGACCCTTATTGGAAAAAGGTTTTAAATGGTGAATAAATGTTCTATTAGACCGAAAAAAAATGTATTGTATTTTTTTCAGACCTAGAAAGCTACAAATCTTTAATTTTAAAATAGAATTTTCATGGACATACAAAAACGCTGTCGGCCATTTTAGTCTATAGATTGTCTATGCTATGATGTCAATTATAGTAAACAAAAACTCGTAAGCACGTAGAAAATAACTTATCTGAGTTTATGATAAAAAGAACACGATTTCTAATAAATACCACGAAAAATAAAGTAATTATCATTATTGTATTGTACGAGAATATAAAAACACATCCTTGAAGACTCCAGGAATGTTATGGATTAAAGTGCCGAAAGAAATTAACCTACGCAACTTTATTACACTTATTCATATGTTGTATCAGTTTTATGTTACCTACTACATTGTAATACTAAATGCACTGTACTTACATAGATGCCTTGTTGTTTCTCTGCTCCGCAGAGCAAAAATGGGGGTTTAGTGCAAAAAATTCACCAACCATCAATGCGTCAATTCTTGGCAGATTTGTGCTTTCTGCTTTCACAAAACCGGCATCCATAATTAGTTTTGTCAAAAAAAAAAGTAAACGGAAACTTTTCTAAAGTTAAAAGTGTTTTAAGATAAATTTATTCAGACTAAAGAATCCACCCACAATAACACGCGAATGACATTTAGTTGTTTACTGAAAGAGACGTCACAATCATGGCGGATGTGGCGAACAGCGTTTTTAGTGTTTAAAAAATATAGACTAAAAAATATTTTTTAAAATTTAATTTCTACAGCAATCTTCTGCTTTTATGAAGTGAAATCGATATATTTAGGTTCCTTAGAC